TAATCATGCCCTCTAGGGTTGACTGTCACCCTTTTGTTAACGGGATTAGGTTCAACGTATCTTGTGCAGTAGGTGTTGTGACCTTGTGACTCCAGCATCAGGTGGGGAGGGGGTATGCACATCATATCCGGTTAGGTTTATGACCTGGTGATGTCTGCATCACCTGGGGTTCGCTTACTTTGATGATGTCACTGATTAAACAGATAAGCCACCATTAAAGTATTCACTATTATTACTGGTATACTTTTCTATCTCTAATGTCATGGAATAATTCAGGAGGTGAGATTCAACAGAAAAGTTTGTAACTGACAAATATAGTCATGTACCATTCTGTTCCGTCTAATTTCCCAGCAAATTTGCAGCTGCTGACATATGGCTGTTGTATGTATTGACATATTTTTCTATGCAACTTATTTGACTACTCACAGATTTCATTATTCTACACATTAATTACAGTATATTGGTTACCAGTTGGAAATCATCTTGTAGAAAGGTTTCTAGCCAAGAATATGGGATGATAGACTTTTTAAAGGTGCAGTATAACATTTAATTATTGATTGATTGATCAATTGAAATCAGAGATCTAGGACTGACTTCAGCTCTTTCTTCACTGTATTTTTAATAGTATATTCAGGTTGCTTCTTAGAGTCAAGAAATGAACGCTGAATATTTTAACCTCCTCCATCTGTATAACAAGGAAAGGGATATTCCTGAAAAGAGATGGGCAGAGTAATTAGAAAAATGAAGTTGCTGAAGCACATTTGTTACCATAAGTGACTTCTGGGTTAGGGAGAATAATGCTTTTGTTAGGCCTAATATTTTAAAAGGTTGTGAGGAAAGCTAGGGCAATGAAGTAGTAGGGGTCTACATTCCCCCCTTGACTGAGTACTGAAAGTGTATAAAAACAAGTAAATTATGTTCTGATTGAGTTAAAAAAACAAAATCAATTAAAAGTAGCCGGTCTTATTTGCAGAGATTAATTCTTGACTTTGTAAGTAGACATTTGCACAGACTTTTTATAGTTCATTGTGTTGCTATGTGTAATTGTAGAAATGCAATTTAGTTCTCACCAGAATAAATACAAGAGTTGCAGACAGCTTTTGCAAAACAGCAATATTAATTATATCTGTAAACACAGCAGAGATCTAATACAACTCAACTATTATAGTATGAAGGGGAAAAAAGGCTGCAGCAGATTAACTATATCAATTTGTTGCAATATTTTGTATTAATGCATATTAATATATACTGCATACATTTATTTAAATAGTTCATTCACAGGTATCTGAAATACATCTGAAAAAGATGCAGCAGTATATTTTATAGGACACTATTATTCCAGACATAGCCTGCAGGCTCTGGCTTTTCATAAAAACTAATGAATTTCTAGATTTGTCAGCTGTTTCAACCAGATGCACTTTGGTAATTTAATGGAAATATTTTGAATTCAATTCCAAAATATCAATAGCTTTTAGTATTGAAAATTAATTTGGCTATTGGGTATATAGCATGGTAGTTCTTGATAACAGTAGCAAATATTTTTGCACATATGCTTTATATTAAAATGTGTCCGTGCCATCTGATACTTAAATAAATATATAAGCATCTCTCTTTCTTTTTGCAGAGCTTTAAGCTGAACGTAGATAGTCACTGTGCATTAAAGGAAGCTGTTGTAGAAGAAGGACGGCAACTTCTTGATCTTATAGTATCTCACAAATCAGGTAGATTCTTCTGAAATATTGCAAGTCTTTATGTCTCCAGACTATTAAAGAATAAAGAAGCATTGCTGTAAATTACCGCATATATTCACTTCCTTATGTATTATTAATATTTACATTATCAGTTTGACCTTCAAGATTTATAAATGTTTCATATGCTGCATACAATGCTGTGATACTTACAAAATGAAATACTGCTTGCAAATAGTCTGTTCATTTTATTTTGGTCTTGCTATTGAGCTGACTTTCAATTGAAATTACATCACTGAAAACTTCACACTGACATGTTCTTTGATGTAGGTGCTATGGAAATATCATTAAGATGATAAATTAGGATTTTATATCTATACACACATATATTTTTACATAGCTAGCATGAATAATTGCACTGATAAAACTCCTTTGCCATTTAAACTAATACTTACTGCAATTTTAAAGTATTTATTAAGAAATATTAAGAGTGATTGTTTCAGACACTTCTGCATGCCATTTTCAGTATAAGCCTGAAGTCAGGAATTTTTGTCATAGTTCTTAATGGTCTGGTTTTAATCAAAATGCTCTATATTACAAGAAATTGCTAGCTTTATTTTGGCTTGATTTTTTCACTTTGTTTTTTCCTCAATAAGATGAAGATTCTGGAAGATTTTAGTGTGTTTCATCTGTATTCTATAACTTCTCTACCTGGTTGTCTAGAACTTAAAATAGCTCCACCCTCAAGTTATACAGTTGACCTGCATACCTTCCTGGAGCTTGTAAAACTATACCATGGTCTCAGAAACTGACCATATAAATAATTACTTTTCCTTAAAGATGAGTAACCAAAAATACCTGTTCTAAACAGCAGGCCATAGGACGGATTTTTCTACTGTTCCATATGGATCCCCGATTAAACACTATTTTTCTTTGCTGATTTTCAGTCACTACTTAACATGCTGTCTGTGTGTCATGTTTTGATCCTATCATATTGTTTGCAGTGCCAATATGTTAGAATTCCTGATCAGATTTCTTTGTAAAGAATGCCAGAATATTTAAGGTGAAAGGATTTTTATTTCCCCTAAGAATTCTTGCCTTTAACAAATGAAGTTCTTCAAAAGATAAAGTTGAATGTATGACTTCATTTCTTTCTCTCATTTTGGAGAAGGACTGAAGGACATGTTGCAGATGATTGCAAGTCAGTGGAAGGAACTACAGAAACAAATCAAACGGCAACACAGCTGGATTCTTAGGGCTCTGCGTATCATCAAAGCGGAGATACTGGCTACTGATGTGTCTGCAGAGGATGAGGAAGGGACTGAGAGCCCCAAGGTAAGTGGCTTGAAGTTTGTCTTATTTCCTCTTATTCCAGCCTCCTTTTGAACTAGGTACCACTGAAGTTTCTTTCCACCCTAAGGCTTTTCATTTCTACCGGGTAAAAATTTTATAAACAAAATAAAATGTGTCTTTCTGAAACAATATCCATTTTAAAAGGCGGAAACTTTTTACATCTTTTAGACAAACTTCTCTGGATAGAAGTCTACAAGGGGCAGGGAAGGGGATGTAAAATAGTTAGTAAACAAAACATAAAGTATCTTTAACATGAATAATCAGAATGGTTTTAAATTGTTTTGTTGCAACTATAAATCACTATAATCAGTGCAATCACTCAGCTCTGACATCCATTAGCCGCTTGGTTACAGCAAATTAACAAAGAAGAGAGAAAGTGATTCATTATCTCATTCCTGTTAATGACTATCAGATGCATTGCCTAATTAGGGGATGGCCATTGCAGTGGGGAGAAGGTCATATGCTTTGCCACAAATCTTTTTTGCTTGGAATTTAAGCCTTCCATAATGGTGCATGTGTTGAATACATATCAATAATGTATTGATATCTAAATCCGTTTACTGAGGACTTCTTGGGGACAATGAAAGCCACCTCCCCCTTACTCCTATGCTAGGAATATGTTGATGGAGGAAACAGGAAATCTGCTGCAAGATGAATTATTTTGCTGTGGCAAAAGAACATTTTATTCCTTTTTTTTTTTTTCAAAAGAGAAAAAGTAATATAACTCTAAGGGAAGCACACATTATTAAAAGAAATTTTAAAAGATTGTGGAGATGTTGAAAGCATTGATGCAATAATTATTAGCCTTGGATTATTTTTATTTTCTTTACAGAGCTGTGATGTAATTTATGCCATTCATCACAATGATGTCACGGGGACTATCCAATAGGTTAAATATAACAGGAAAAGAATGTATACAGAAAGCTCTGGGTGGGGTGGATTAATATTATGCTCCATCTCAGTTGATGAGTTTCATGATTAGATAATGGCATCAAGACTGGTTTCTGGCGTAAGGTGATAGTTAATGTCATATAAGCCACCCTCTTGTCTGCTTAATTGATCTTTGATTCCTCCAAATGTTAGAGCAGATTTGATGACACACAGGAGAGGGAAGAGGAAATCCATTCTGCCAACAGTGTCATTTTGGCAGGTGGACAGATATCAATGGATTTCACCCTTAGATTCTGATTTCTGTGAATCCTTTTGGTTGCAAGTTCCTACTGCTAAGGAGGGTAAGGTAGAGATAACTTTTTTCCCCAGTTGAGAGTCAATTTTGGCCTTTGGATGGTGTGTTAAGGACAACACTGAAAAAATAAACAAAGCCAGGACACACACACACATCCTCTCCAAATAATGAACAAGACCAGGGGGAAAAATGAAAAATGTAATTACTTAAATGCTGTTAATATTATTAGTCCTGATGTAATTAATACTTTCACCTTTATTTAATTATTTATTTACTGAATGTCTATTCTGTTGCAGTCATAAGATGAGTTCACGAAAAGACATATAAAAGCTTTACAGTGAATACATAAAACCTCCATGATACAGTAAGAATAATCAAAACCAAGCAACATTTTATCTAAAAAGGGAGCAATATTCATAAGATGGAGCCATTTAATTACTAATTTTTAAAAGCCCTCAGAATTGCTCTGCCTTAAAGTGCTCTAGTGTCAGAGCCAGTTAAATTTCCAGAAGAAATGTAGTGCATTGCACAGGGGCCAGCCTGACTTCATGGAAATAAGGAATCAAAAGCAGTTTCTCCTAGGATGCGCATATTGGACAAGTTGATTCTAGTTGGAATAAGTGGGCCTGAAAGAACCTCGGTTCCAAGCCATTTGGAATTTAATAGATGAAAGCCAGTGTCTATTGGTGGCCATTGTAGGGCCTGCAGCAAAGGTATAATGTGCTCCTGGAGCCTAGTGCTAATTAGCAGGTGGGATGCTGCATTTTGTATCAACTGCCATTTCCAAGGGGACTTTACAGGCATCCCCATGTAGGGTGCATTGCAGTAGTCCAACTGAGTAGTGATGAAAGCATTATTTACTGTTGTATGATCCTCTTGTTCTATGTAGGACCATAACTGGCACTTAATTACATTTATTAAATGTTGAAACAATATTTGGAAAGGCTCTGGGGCTAATCTCCAGAACCACAAAATGAAGCTAGGTCTGAACCGAGATCATTGAACTCTATCTGCTTCCTGTTATAGTGCACACCTATGTTTACTCAAAAATAATTCCATCTGAATTCAACAGGACAAATTCTCCAATAAATGTAAATAGTATCACAGCCTCAGGATTTCAACAAAAGAATGAGTAGGCTAGCTAGAGCTATCATAGTCTAGCTTTTTATTTCTTACAGTTGTCAAGCAGATGCCTCTAGAGTGTTCATAAGCTCTTCCAGCACAACTTATTTTTGGAGTCATGCTGTTCCCAAACTGGGGTAAGATTGAGTCTTCAAGACCAATAGTTTTTAGTAGACCTGTCTTCCATGAATTTATCCATCTCAATTTAAAGCCATCCAATTTAGAGACCATCACCACATAACATGGCAATGAATGGCGAAGAAGTATTTTCTTTCGTCTGTTTTAAATTTTCCAACCTTGTTAATTGCATGACCCCTAGTCTTGATGTTCTGAGAGAGATCTCCCCAACAAAAGAACCCTTCTCCCTTTCATTTTCTCCACACTTTTTCCATGCCCTGCATAATTTTATATACCTCAATCATATCTTCCCTCCATTACCTTCTTTCCAGACTAAAGAGTCCCAAACTTTCTAGCTTTTTCTCATAGTAAAGATGTATGAGGCCACTAATCACCCTTGCAATTGTAATAACCCTCTCTATACATTTTTCCAGCTGTTATTATATCCTTTTTCAAAAATGGGAATAAGAATTGTATGCAGTACTCCAGATCCAGACATACAATACATTAATTTAAGGGCATTATAAATCTGACATCTTCAATGAGCGATCCATTAGGATTCCAAGATCTTTTTCGTGGGTAATTTCAGACAAAGTCTCCATCAGCCTATATATGAAATTAGAGATTTTTGCTCCAGCATGCATCATTGTACACTTATTTAGATTAAATTACAATTGCTATTTGGTTGACTATTCACCCTGTTTAAAGCATTCCTTCTGGAATTCTTCACAGTTACTTTTGGTTTTTTTATACTAACCATATAAAATATTTGGAAAAAGTTTAATATTATCTGCATACTGGCCAGCATAGTGCTTATCCCTAAGTCAAGATATTTATAAACAATACAGACCCTTGAGGATCTTTGCTTCCTATTTCCCTCCTTTGAAAAAATTGCCCTTTTATTCCTATTATTTACTTTCTGATTTTTAACCAATTAGCAATCCATAAAAGGATAGCTCCTTTTATTCTAAGATCGCTAAGCATAGTTAAGAGTCTTTGTTGACGAACTTTATCAAAGGCTTTTAGAAAATCCAAGTATACAATCTTTACCCACAAGTCTATCGATACTCTCATAAAAGTCTAAAAGGCTAGTAAGACAGGATTTACTTTTATAAAATCTATGCTGATTGTCCTTCAGCAAGATTTGTTCTTCTTTATGACATTTTTTCAAAATTATCATTTCTTCCAATTTTCCTGGAAAACATTAAGTCAACTGGCCTATAATTTCCTGGATCTCTCTTGGATTCCTTTTTTTCAGAAATGTCACATTAACTATCTTCCAATCTGTAAGCTTGATTTCAGACAAGTTACATACTTTTTCTAGTAGGTCATTAATTTCACATTTCACATTCTTAAAGGTCTTTCTTTAAGAATGGTTGGGTGAATGACATCAGAACCCAATGCTCTGTAACTATGGACTTTCTAAGATATATTTTGTTACCTCAGTTTGCTTTGGTTGTTCCAATTCTCTCCCTGAAAAGTAAATACAGGCTATGATGTCTATCCTGTATCTTTTGTAGTAAAAATAGATGCAAGTATTCATTTAGTTCTACAATCTCCCTTTGAGAATCCCTTCTACACCTTGGTTGTCTAATGACTTTGCCACTTCCCTACCTAGTTTTCTACTATGAATATATATATATATATATATATATGTATGTATGTATGTATACACACACACACACACAT